TACTAAAAACCACTGAATTATACACTTACATTTTTCATAGGTGAAATTTTATACTTTTCACAAGTGAAATGTATGTCATATGAATTATGTCTCAATAAAGTTTTTATGTTAAAAAAAATAACCCCAACCTCCCATGACTCTGATCTTTCTCTGAGTAAAATCCAAAGTTCTTACAGTGGTCCTCAAGGCACAACAGGGTCTGTCCCCCTTCCCCTCTCTGCCCTCCTTCCCTTTTCTCTCCCTCTCACTCACAATACTCCAGGCTCACTGGTCTCTGCTGTTCCTTGAACACATCAAGCATATTCCAGCCCCAGGGCCTTTGCTGATGCTGTTTCCCCTCCTTGGAACTCTTTTCTCCTAAATCTTTACATGACTCACTCCCTTACTTCATTTAGGTCTCTGCTCAAATGTCACCTCTTCAGAGCGACATTCCCTGGCCACCCTGGGCTGTTCTCTGTTTGCCACCTCTCCCCACCCCATCCACCCAGTTCTATCCTGTGTGGAATGTGTGGATTTTCTCACTTCAAGTCAAGCTTTCAAGTGGATTCAGCCAATGGGAAGCTCAGGCAGATTGGAGGGTGCGAGGAGAGAGAGGTCAGGGTATTTCTTCCTCCCTCCATGTTTCTGCAAGCCCAGCTCCCCTTACAGGCTAGTGAGCTGTCGCTACTCCCCAGGAGCTCAATATCCTTTGTTGATTCCTTTGACCCTGCCAATAGCCCCTTCACTAAAGGTTCTTCAAAATCTTAGCTAAGTGTTCAGGCTTGTATGTGCCCTGTGTAAGGTAGCACACATCATTTCCAATTTACTTACCCCGCTCTATTTTAATTCACAGAATTTGTCACTATCTGACATTGTGTCTGTATTTGTCTATTCGCTTACTGTCTTTTTTCATCATCAAAATGTAAGCTCCATTCATTCTACATGTATTTATTGAGCACCTACTACGTGCCAGACCCTGTTCTAGACATTGGGGACATAGCAGTGAACATACCGATGCCCAGAGAATAAACAAAATAAATAAGCAAAATAAGTAATAAGTTAGATGGTCATAGATGCCATGGACAAAAATAAATTATAAGGGGGG